ATCAGCAAATAAGCGTGAAATACAATTTAAATTATCAACAATATCATTAATATAAACCAAAAATAACAGAGGACCTAACACACTTCCTTGTGGTACACCAGCATTTGTGTAACCTATATTAGAATACACACCTTTAACAAGAACCTGTTGTTGTCTGTTTGAAATGTAATTTTTAAACCAACGTAGTAAACCATCTCTAATACCATAAGCATGTAATTTATGTAAAAGACCCCTATGCCAAACTCGGTCAAAAGCCTTCGATATATCACAAAAAATTAGACAAGTATACATACGTTAACCATTTCACTTTTGTTAACAAATGTATTGCTACTCATGTGATTCCACTAATTAACACACACGTGTATAGCTTTCTTCGAGAGAAGAACTAACATATGCTCTATGCTTGTTTTACCATTCCTCTGAAATCATTTTAAAATATTGTTGATTAATGGAATAAAATACTGTTTCAACTAAACAATTTTTTTTTATGTAACCTTCTGGGGCCCCTGTTTACCTACACACGTGCATTTTATTTTACCTGTAAGAAATCCAGATACTTTTTTTAATTTCTGTCGGATTGCCTTATAGCACAGGAATATTTTTCATATGAAAACAAAAAATGAAAAATGTACCACAGTAGAAAATCTGCGGTCGGCGAAGGGTGAGTGATGATATCTGATGTCAACTTGTCCAATCAGTTACACGATTAAACATTTTTTTCAATAATTGCATATTTTCTTTGCTAATAATCTGCTTATGCTTTTTATAAAGCATTTCGAATAATTTTGTACCTTATATTCCGTGTAGAAATACTTGTCGAACATTTCACCAGTCAAGCTGTCTGCATTCAGCTCTAAAGATTAATCTGGTTTTACGTTGTCCGCCATTTTTATTTTTTATTTTTTAAGCATGAGCGAAACTTGTCTTCAGGTGCGCAAGTATACCCTTATGACTTCACAAAATATGCATAATATCTTACACACCGTATACATATATAACAAGGTGAACGTATCAAATCACAACATAAGGATGGCCCTAGTACACATGACTGGTTATTCAATTGTATACAACTCTATTATGAAATGAGTGGGAGTTTATATGGTACACGTATTGCATACTTTGGCGAACCACAACGTAAAACATAGGGATGCACTTAATATTGTATTTCATCATTCTATCACGACACAGAAGTAGTGTACTACCGACGCTTTTCACTGATTAAACGTAGTTTTATTGCCATAATTATATGCAACAATGATTAAGCATAACAACTACAGCCCTACTTCTCAGCACAATAATAATGGAGTATATCACAGGTAGGTAGTAACAATAGAAAGACAGAGGATCCTGTAGAGACATTTACGTGCAGGTATTCATAACTAGTCTATGGTGAAATCACAAGCTTTGTTGGACTGGATGCACAAACGAAAGATATTGAATAGATTTTCACAATCTCATTCGACAAAATAAAGACTTCTTTTAAAATACTCCTATAAGTAGAGATCGTTGGTTACCGTAATCACCGTGTATTATTTGAAAATAACTTTAAGGTGCAGCGCGATAATAGATTTACAATAATCTCCTAAGCATTGGGAATATAAACAACTGTGTTGTGTACGACTTGTTCTGGAGGAAATAGTTATGTCGAGTGAGGGTACACGGATGCATGTACAGATCGAATCGTTTCCCATGACATACATTAACGTTAAGGTTGCAGCCTTTGGAAATTCACATGGTCAGCTATGCGCGACTTGTTGATGAAATCAGGGAATGCTGGTCATCATGTGACAAAGAACAGTCTGATAATTATGATTCTAGGTAGCATTGCCTTGTATTGAAGTAAACACAAAGATACATTTAGTTATTTTTTCATTCGGTAATATTATGGTCGAACACTTTCGAGAATGAGAAAGTGATGCTGGGAAATGTCGCGTATTCATTTGGTAAAATAGACACAATCAACATGCTTGTATATTATGGTCGAACACTTGCGAGAAAATAATGCTGGGAAATGTGAGGTGTCGTAATTTTACAGAGATTCCGCTGACTGTTGGACTGTAGGCGCTATCTTTGCTGAAAGAACTTCGATATAGGTATGGGTTTCTCTCAGAACTATTATATATATAGTTTTTTTTTTTTTTTTTTTTTTGAAGTTTTGCAACAATACATTACACATATCACAATTATATTTCAAACACACATTCTCTATTCGCGCTCATTTTCTGTCTATGCTTTGCCATTTTTCAAATAATATTTCATCAAAGTTATAGTTAATAATGCTGAAAAACAGACAGTTCCTCAGACATAGTTACGGGTTGTGGCAATGGTAGTAGGGTCCTAACATATGCCTTTTTTCAAACTAATGTAAGTTCATATTATTGGGTAGATAAGCCACGGATCAGTAAAATACCGGTAACGTGTATCATCTCCTAAAATAACGAGGAAAGCATTGTTATATTTAGCCCAGCAACACCAGTACTTAGCAACTGTGACGTACACGCGCAGTCAGGTAGTGACGTTATACCAGATACTGAACTCTCAGACGCTGAGACCCTGATGGCTGTCTCGCTGTACTTCACACGATATGCCATAGATTTCATGTAGCTGTTATACAAACTGTTGTGAACCACAGTAATTAATTATTCATTAACAGTTGTGTACTTTGCGACATATGTGGTGCATTTGAATCTCTGTCCCTGGTAAGGTTAGCTCGTCTTGCGGAGCTAGTTGTCAGTATGGTGTTCTAAAAGGATGTTTACACCTGGCTTGGCTGAAAGAGACTATGCTATTCACAACATCAGCTTTTATATAACCGAAACTGTGAATGGGATATCGTGGGCAGGATTTCGTCATTTTATCCCGCTAGTTTATACATAAACATTGTACATACTATCAGCGTGATGTATTATAAAATGTATTTATAAACTTACCTTATCTTTATCTAGGACTAGTTACATCGTTTTATCACAATATTTTGAACATTTTATATAACAACGAGCACACTCAGTGAGATTCTTGTTGATAGCCGGAATATTTCTATGGTTGGTTATCATGTTGATCTAAATCGAGTTAGTTAATTTTCAAATTGTATAAAGACACGAGGTTTACCGTGTGTCCATTACAATGTGAACATTAGTTACATGTGAAAATAGAGTAAGATAAAAATGAGAATCGAGCACCACGAGTTTAGGGACATTTTTCTTCCGCAGCGTTCAGATATTTTATTAAAAAAATGTATTTCTTTTTGGTGGGAAACAATTGCCATGAACTATGACGTCACAACGGAAGATGACATCGCAAGGCATTGTTACTTGAAGCACGGAATTAGATTAGTTAGATTGTTATCTGTCCGTGCTTGAAATCATAATTAGGAGATTGACCTAGAAATCACGACCAGAGTGTTACCGCTATTGGGTAACCAAAAATTCAATGAGTTGGGAGTGGGGAACCCCACATGTGGTTGTGGGAGCTGGAGGACTTTTCCGTAATTATGCGTTTGAGACTGCAGTAGATACTTCAACCTATAGATATAGTAACACATTTTGTATCTTATGATATTTTAGATACAATGAAAAGTCTATGATCGCATTTGAACTACTGCAACTGACATTAGAATGTGACGTTTTTTTAGAAACTGAAATGCTCTGTCAAAACGGAGTTTAGCGACACACATGTTCCAAATTCTAATTTGAAACAATGACAACATTATGCCCTATCTGAAACGGGATCAGTATGATTTTTACACACGGCAGAGACGTCTCTGGTAATATATGTCTCACATACGGCCGTAACATCACAGAGCTATCTGATTCTGGATTGAAACAGGGGTCCGCCAGCTTTAACCTTCCCCTCTCAACCCTTTTACAGAAGCTACGATGTAAGCAGCCCTCCCCCAACCGTAGGCTACGGCCATGATGTTATTAGTATTACGTCAAAGTAGTAGACCTTCACTGACAGGACTACACTAGTAGCTCTGGTAGACATCTCATGAAGTGCTTGTCAGTATCGCAAAGCTAGGAAACCCGAGGTGATTATATGGTGTATTTATTGTGTCTATCCAATTTCGACCATAACACTAATCAGAACACAAGTTATTTACTTCGACTCCCAACATCTGCAATGCAGACACATGGATTAACCGCAGACGTACGCCGTCTGCACGCATACAACCATATTATGAATGGCGGTTGCCGGCACGCCTTCAACAGGTCACGTGGAAACCGTCACGATCGATATTCACACAAATCATTTACATATTTTGATGATCTAAGGGGAAATGTTCAGACACAAGAATCCGAACCAATATTTCCTTGTCGGAATCTGTATAGTTACAAAGTATGCAATAGGACCGTTGGTTTGAGTGTATGATGATTTTTCGGATCTATTTTGATGTGAAGTAAGTAACCAGAGACGTATAAAATAAAGCTACTAGACTGGATTCATTGTATAATTATTTGTTTTAGCAGACACTAGGGCTACATTCGCGTTACCGGTTGAAACGGTACGTGTGGCGCAGAAATTTTCCACGATAAACGAACACACTTGGACCGTTCTATAAGCAGAGCTAAAAATGCACAGTTTCGGAGAATAAAAAAACAATGTATCAAGAATATTATGCCCTTCTCTCACGCGTCCACTAAATTACATAACGTATCTTAAAAACTACATGTGGCTTGACATTGTTTTAGAAAGAAATAACGCAAACTAGCAATATTCAGCAGTTTAGTTTCGGCCAGGTACGTCTGGACCCCTCAATCTACACGTACCAAATTTTCCTGAGGTCAGCCTCGGTCCAAATCTGTACCTGTCGTTTTCTTTACAGGTTCAGCCGGTTCAACCGTTTCAACCGGTAACGCGAATGTACCCTTGGTTAATAGTTTCCATCCTTAGCAACTCTTAATCAGAAACCACTGAAGTACTGTAAAAACTGTAAATAATTGGATGTCATTTAAATAAGTGAAGAGAGACGAGAACATTGTGTGACAACGAGTAAACGTGCTAGATACCAAACATTCCTTTGACGTTGACATTATTCGTCTCCATTAAGCTAACAAAGCTTTCAGTACTACAACGAGAATTAATAGGAACTCTTCTAAATTGGAGGTAAAGAAGAGAATACCGTTTCCGGGTAAACATTTTGCATGTGAAAACGCTAGTCCACTGGTTTATTGACGGTAAATATTCAGATACGACTGGCCAATTCCTTAGATCGGGTTAATGGTTTTGGTCCTTTTATATACAAACGAGCACATTCATTGAGATGCTTGCTGATAACAAGAAAATACCTTCGAACCAGAGGGAGGGGCGGGGTGTCCTAAACTAGTCCGAAGTAACCGATTTCCCCATTTAAAAAAAAAGGTTTTCATGGACAAGAGATATTCTCAATCTCCTAACTTAAAACCGACAAAACAATTGAACAATTATAAAACCAGATTATCCAAATCTTAAACAAAGATTGGTTTTCTTTCTTTCATTACGATTATTGATCAGGTTGGACACAACAGCACAGCGGCTCATGATCATCTTTATCTGTTTATAGGTAATCCTGCATTTTGGGAACAGTTGCCCATTTGAGTAACAATTTTATTACTGAAATTCATTTTAAATAATTGAGCAAAAAGGGGATATTTTTTTCAACTAAATCCAATAAATATCAACGAAGTACATTTAATATGTACACAAAAGTTATCAATTGTGATGTCTAACTTTTGGTGAAATTGAAAAAGCATATCACTGATATTTTTTCTCCATTGACTTCAGTGTGTAGTCAATGGGATCATCCAGTGCAAATGTGACAGGTACGCATGGCATTTTCTGTGTGCTATTTATAGCTACTCTACAACGCACTATAAGCAATGGATGTTATACAATTTGTCATTTCCCCAAAGATTTAGACAACTGAATTTACATTTTTATCTCTTATTGGAATATGCTGAAAGGTAGATGCCCTTTTTTGTTCATAATGTTTATGAGAGAACTACATGTGTTTTCATTTCACTTTATTCCACATTTCAGTAATAAAATTGTAACTGTTCCCCAAATGCAGGATTGTTACCCATATGAGCCGTTGTGCCCAACCTGTTTATTGTATGATGATGATTGTCCCTGTATGAATATAATCTTGCCTACACAGGTATTTTTATCAAAACAATTGCCTATAGAACATTTATTATCTGATTATAGCTACTATTTTGTCTTAGTTGTGTAGATAAACAATCTATTGTTGATCTGAAGGTCGTCAGGGGGCCTTGGATCCATTATTGCATTTTGCATCCAAAGAAAAATTACCCGATAAACAATACATATAGGAAATGAAATTGGAGTTGCCAATCCCTGTTATATAAGTCTGTGCCGATATGGATGGAACTGCAAATATACACAAAATTACAAAGTTTTTGTATCTCTATATAAGCATGATTTGATACTTAAGCAAGGTGCAAGCCCACCTTCTTCAGTTCAAAAGACTTTTAAATGATACCTAAACAGTGCAAAATTGTATGGGAGGGATATCTAACCAATTTGTTGGTGTTTTTTTATGACTTGTGTCATCTCAATATCAGCTTAAAGTCGTGATGTATGTATTTAATGTGTTTTATTTATTTACTAGAAATAAATCCCAAGGAAATTCCATTTGTGCTATTTTTAGGTACTTACTCATGCCGATATGATGCAGTATCAACCTCAGAGCGTCATGACGTTGATAACATTATATCAAGATAAGGAAATTATGTATCAGCCAATCAGATTGCAAGATATTTGCAAATCATATAATAAAGCCTGGTACTAAGTTACTATGTTTTCCTGCACTGTCTAGAGCATGTGATGCTGAACATTTGCAGCTCTGAAATTGTACCATTATCATCAGTGAACTGTGCTTAAATTCTTGAATTATCTGTGTAAAATTTAGTTCAATTGTAAATTAGATACATGAAATGTCCTCTTTCAGATTTGTATCAAGTCAGGACAGAAGTGAAGGAGAGTAATGTAATTATTGTTTACAGAAAGCACTTTGGGTTTTAGCTGTATGGTAATGATAAGACTGCAGAATAGAAGATTATGGGCAATTTTGGCAGTGTTGACCATGATGAAAGAGTTGAAGTTTATATGAATAAAATAAGTTCACGTTTGCCAGCATGGATATTTACTTTCAGGTGAAGAGTAATGATTTAAGTCTGTAGACTTAATGCTTTTTTTGTTTTAATATATTTATACTTGATCCACTTTGAAAGTGTCAGTTTACAAATAAGATGCGATTGTTCAACTGTTATTATATAAATAACAGTTTGTCCAAATGTATTGTAGACAGGTTTTTTGGCCTAGTTGATTTAGATATGCACTACAGAATTTTTGCCCTTATCATAATTAATGAAAATAAACAGCAAACATGTACATATTTTGTTTTGCAGATGTAGAAGAGATTCACATGATGATTTGACGTACAAAGCATGATGACATAGGTCTGAACAGATCATGGTACGGGGGCTGGTAAGGGAGAGAACTGTCAACTTGATCCACACTGATTGACGCCATGAAACACAATGTTTGGTAAGATGTCCAACGATGGTATCTCGACTGACATTTAAAGAAATGTGTGAACAGAAGTATTCAAATGTCATTTTATCATCTTCATTTAGGCATCAGAATTTACTGCATTTCACAAGAAATGCTATGTAAAATACACAGTGATAGTTAGGGCTAGTGAAACAACATAATCTGTGTACTCTAGGGTTAGGGGACAGACCCAATGTAACTCTTTTCTCACTAAAGTTATGAGAATACAACAACATGGATGTAATATGTTTGTACTAGCTCAGGGCTAGTAGACAACCCCTATTGAATGCTCTACTGATCCATGATATAGCTTATACGTCTGTATAATATGACTTACATGGTATGGTGCCAATTACTATATGGTGTGCACATATATATCACAGCACTGCAGGGATAATCCTGGAGGGGGCCATGGGGTCATTGCCCCCTTAAAACTGAAATTGACCCCTCCATCTTACAATTTTCCTTTAATTTTGCCATCTTAATTTTGATATTTACTGAAAGTTACTGAAAATGGCCTACTGCTCTCAAATTCAAGGATTTTCCCTGCACTGATCTGATAAGTTCCTTTAGCCATGGTCAAGACCACTGATAAAAGTTAAAGATAGAATGTAGTATTGTCCTTGTTGCATAGACCTGCGGTTTAAGATAATTTATATAAGACTTGTATTATCCTTTTTATATAGACTTGCGGTTTAAGATAATTTATATAAGATTTGTATTATCCTTGTTATATAGACTTGCAGTTTAAGATAATTTATATAAAACTTGTATTATCCTTGTTATATAGACTTGCGGTTTAAGATAATTATATAAGACTTGTATTATCCTTGTTATATAGACTTGCGGTTTAAGATAATTATATAAGACTTGTATTATCCTTGTTATATAGACTTGCGGTTTAAGATAATTATATAAGACTTGTATTATCCTTGTTATATAGACTTGCGGTTTAAGATAATTATATAAGACTTGTATTATCCTTGTTATATAGACTTGCGGTTTAAGATAATTATATAAGACTTGTATTATCCTTGTTATATAGACTTGCGGTTTAAGATAATTATATAAGACTTGTATTATCCTTGCTATATAGACTTGCGGTTTAAGATAATTTATGTATTAAAGACTTGAGTGACACATGCATCATCACTCTTACCTCTTAAGAATCCTAGATCCAAGGTTTAAGGTTAAATAGATGACATGTGCTGTTTTCCTTGTCTGGATAAAAGCTTCTGCTCAGTTAAACAATACATTGTACATGAAAATTCACGGACATATAGCAGTGGCGGATCCAGAAACCTATCTGGGGGGGGGGGGGGTTCCAAATATCCAGGGGGGGTTTCCATGTAAGGAAAAATTGAGGAAAATGGTGAAAATACATGGTTTTTAAAAAAATATCTCAGGGTGAGAGGTTTCTGGAAGCCCAAAATAGGATTCATTTCTAGATGGCACTAGTTCATTGTGTTAAAAGGAATAGAAAATGGGGGAGGGGGGGGTGGGGGGTGGGGTGATGTCGGTCAGAGCTGTTAGGATATATAAGTTTTCAAAATTCCACACATGTTATCATACCAATTAAGTGTAATGCCTATATAGGATTTAAAGGTTGGCTCCTGCATATTTTCACCAAAACACTGTACCTTACTTTTCAAAGATTATATAGTTATACAGTTAATTTTGTTTGTTTGAAAGATTGGAGTACAGCTGAGCTGAATTATCAATTGATATTATTAGTGAAAGAAAATACTAAAATAATGTACCTAAGGGTTAAAAATGTTATCTGAATTTAACTAGTTTTTAACTTAATAATGTTTTATGGAGTAAACACATGTATTACATTTAATGGTAAATGCCTTTGTGAGTTGTCTGTTGATATTCAGATGTAAGGTACTGAATAACTATATGTCATTGAGTAACATGTACATCAATCTACTCGCAATATGTAAGACTTGTTGGTGTAGGGGAGGTAACTGAGTTACTTTCAACCGAATGATACAAAGTGATTTTTTGGGATGAATTTGGGGTCGTTATAAGGCCCATTCCCCTAAAATTTTCACAGCACAGTTTATTATGCGAAAATCATTGATGCTTAGTGAAGTATACAATTATATTACTATATGCATAAAGACACCAGGAGAGCTCCAGATTCACTGTATAACACGTCACTCAAAACTGACTCTCTTAAATAGCATTAAGGAAAATAGTATTTGCTAGGTTTATTTATTTGATATAATGTGAATATTTTTGTGTCATTTATATCTCTAAGTAAACATTCCCATATAAGTCTATTTTCGGCAGTGTTTTTCTTGGTGCCGAGGTCATCTGCCTTTGAGTAGTATTGTAAGAATTCTGTGATGCATATATTTAACCCCAACAAAGTTATTGCCTTTTTGGTAGAAAGCTATTTAGGACATTTGTTTATATATATATTGTTTAATATACCTTGGAAATTTGTTTAAGGAATACAATTGTGACCTCATAAAAAATTGAAGCAGTCGTGTACAATGTATATCATACTTATTTCCAGCATGGTGTCTGATTTTTTCTTCCCAAACATGGGAGGTGTGGAGAGTCACATTTACCAGCTGTCACAGTGTCTGTTGGAACGGGGTCACAAGGTCATTGTCGTCACCCATTTCTATGGCAACAGGAAGGGAGTCAGATATCTGACCAACGGTCTTAAGGTAATAGACACTGTACGTAGAGATGTATGTCTAGGTATGTTTAGTGTTATTCCAGAAATAATACGGAAGTGGGGCGGGGGGTTAAGGAGGTAGATTTTGTGACCTCTACCACTCACATTTTTTTCATTTAAGGTCATCATCATTTTAACTTATTGATTGATCTATATAGATTTAATGGGGAAATTTATGAGTGAAATTCGAAATTAAGTTTATTTGTATGGGAATTAGTCCTTTACCTGACGGTGTGAATCACTAGAAAAAAATCCTGAATAACTTTGTTTTTATATGGATTGAAGGGTGTTTTTGAAGTGTTCATGCCGGTATGAGCGCAAATCGGTTACATCCATATTGCATGAAGCCTGCTAGGGCTTCATGTTTAATATGGATGTAACCGATTTTCAATCCATATATTTACATTTTTACTATAAAACAATTGTGTAAAATTGTTTATTTGCTCTTAAATAATGAATTTATTTACTGCGATTTGTATATACGTCGTCCTTTAAACGACATTGGCGGAACAGCCCTATTTAAATAAAATTGGCGCCAATAATTAACTGTATTCATTTGAGTGTTAACCAAAGCAAGCGACAAGACTCTCATTGAACAAGGTTAATCTATGACGTCATAAGTAAACCACGTTTTACGTCACAAGGGTTTATGCTTTCATACTCAAATGAAATGCGTTTCTGCTGGTTATGATCATATAGTGGGTTGCAGCGGAAAAATGTAAATATATTCAAATGAATTAAGATTAACTGATTTAACTATTGATATTATTTTATAGGTTTACTACCTACCATTCCCAGCTTTCTACAACCAGTGTATCTTGCCGACAATCTTCACAACCTTTCCGTTGTTGAGGAACATCTTCATACGTGAGCACATCACAATTGTCCATGGCCATTCAGTAAGTGATATATAACTAAAATTGAATATAACAACCCTGTTTTTAAGATAGAGATATCTTGAATCGGGGATACTGGGTATGATATAAGTCGAAAACAGGGCTTTGGTATATAAGATTTGGTTATCAAAATATTTTATCCTGTGGATGGAAATTTCTCTGCCTTTATCACACTTTGAAAAAGGATTAATTTTTCCAACACTGAGTATCTATATAAAATGATCGACAAACACCAAACGTTCGACTGACAATGTCAGCGGACATCTTTAGGATGGTATGACAATGTCAGCAGACATCTTTAGGATGGTAAAAACGTCATTTAAAAAAAATGACTTATCATGTCGTCTATAACATTCATCACTTTGAAAATACTGTATACCCGAAAATGTTTGCCAAGTCAAACTTTTGCACTTCCCCACAATTCTCCATACTTACCAGCTCTCCCTATTTAGGAGGGAGACTCCCGATTTTGGACTCTTAAATTTAGTATTTTCAACCAGTGAGTTTGCTTAACTCTTCCTATATTCTAAGATCTATCGATTTCATCTGAAAGAACAACTCAAACAAGTCATTTTCAAGGGTTATTTTGTCTCTAAGGTTTAACACACAAAATATATTTATGTTGCAATTTTGAGCATGCAGAATCTCCACCATGGAAATTTCAAAAAGTTGGCAAGCATGATTCCCCCTTCACATTTAATTACGGTACATGTTATTGAATATTATATTGTTTACTAGTGTTCACTGTAATAACAGTGTCACCCTCAGTAGGGCAGACTGAATTTCAAAAATTAAACTGCAGCAAACATTCCTCAGTATACAGTATTCTGTCTTTGCGTATTGCAGAGTTATCTTCTCTTGTGAATAGGTATTGATTGTTACGTCATTGGATTGTGTGAGAAATTTACGTCGTTTTCTTAAAAATTGATGACGTAACTCTCATAAACAAATGACATAACAATCAATACCTGCTCACAAGAGCAGATAACTCTGCAATACGAAAAGACGGAATATCAGTATGTATCAAACTTTAAATTTATACATGAACAATGTACCTATAAACATGTTGCAACATTTCAAGACCATGCTATCACTGATCATGATTGAGCGATTTGTTTTGTTTACCTGGACAACATCCTGATGAGATTGTAAATTATGACTCCAGGCTTTTTCGACACTAGCTCATGAGGCTATGTTCCACGCCAGGACCTTGGGACTGAAGGCTGTCTTCACCGATCATTCATTGTTTGGATTTGCCGACGCAAGCTCAATCCTCACCAACAAAATCTTACAGTTCTCATTGGCTGATTGTAATCATGTGATATGTGTGTCTCATACAAGGTAAGTAGATTCATGTCACATAGCCATATTTTATCTTATTCTTCCAAAATCTGAGATCAGGCATGCACTTGAAAAACAATTCTGTATTTAAGACATCAAATATGCAAGATTCTGGTATAAAAAATGAACTGCCTGATCATGATACATTTATACAAATGTAGATGAATATTTTCAAAATCTTATGTAAAGTTTACTGTCTTGAAAAGACTTTTGCCGAAACGACTTGGTGAGATTTGTAAGATAGATGAAAACTTATTAAGGTTGGTGAAATGTATCATTCTGTATTCGTCTTGTCATTACAGCTAAAACGACTTAGTGAGATTTGTAAAATGAATTAAAATGTCTGAAGGTTGGTGGGATGCACCATTCTGTATTCTACTTGTCGTTACAGTAAGGAGAACACGGTGCTTAGAGCCAGTCTACAACCAGATGTCGTGTCGGTTATACCTAACGCAGTGGATGCCACTACGTTTGTACCAGACCCAACTAAACGACAACCAGGCAAAAGTAGGCAATACTATACAATTTAACACAAATTGTACAAAAGGGGGAATTGTCGATGAATACATTTTGTAGTATATTATTCTTTGCTACAATAAATGGGCACCAAACTAAAAGTCAGAAAAATGCTGAATAAATTGGAACTCTTCTTTGTTTGAAGTACAACATAGAGCGCTAGGGCACTCTACCTTAATTTATCATCTGTTTAAGTTCAAAATCAGTATGAAGATGGTAAAAATATCACTTATTAAGCTGGATTTCCTGCTTCTAATCAATGTTTGGTCAATTGTCAGAAAACAAACATGACTGTATACACTGAAGTGTTCTGTGTTTGACTTTTTGTATTCTATTTCAGTCACCATCGTCGTTGTGAGTCGGTTGGTATACAGGAAGGGGATGGACCTCCTGGCCGGTATCATACCCATCATCTGTCGGAGACATCCTGATGTACAGTTTATTATAGGTAACAGGACAGTTATTCTATCCATAAAATAATAAAGTCTTTAATTCTTATATTGTGTAAGGGTACATTGTTTTCTTGTCTACAAGATGCAGAAATATTGTGAACGGTGCTTGAAGATTCCAGGGGTTTATCAGGGTAATATGAAGGTCTGTTAAAGAACCCATTCTCAATTAAAAGAAGTTTAATAAATTTAAATAAAATCCTAACAATTGATCAAGTTTTCAAAATTCAGCATAGCATAGGACAGCTGACTGATTATGTTGTACATTGTTATAACGACTTCTCTGGACAATCCAGTTTACCCCCTCATTATGACCCCACGAATGCTTCCATTTGGACCAACAGAAGTGACTTATTTAAGCTGAAAATAAATAAATTGCATATATTTTTATTTCGCTTTTGGAACAAATATGCAGTGTTTAAATTTTGTAAAATGCAGTCGGTAATAAATTGTCCTGGCTAACAGTCTATCAGAGGTATAAGTTTTAAGTGTATCTTTTTCAGACAAGTATTGATCGGCAGAAAGTTAACTACTGTAAATAATTGATAGTATATAAGGAAAAGAATGAATTATTTAAAATTTGAATTTTCCATGTTTCAGGTGGAGATGGTCCTAAACGAATTGTTTTAGAGGAGGTGAGGGAACAACATGAGCTTCTTGACCGGGTTACTTTACTGGGAACACTGAAGCAAACACGGGTCAGAGAGGTAACTAATTAAGACACTTTATATGTACATTATATAATAATATGTAAATATATTATAGGATTATTATATTATACAGGGCCACGGTGGCCAAGTGGTTAAGGCGTCTGACATTCTGCTACCACTAGCCCTCAACCACTGGGTCGTGGGTTTGAGACCTATGTGGGGCAGTCGCCAGGTACTGGCCGTAGGTCAGTGGGTTTTCTCCGGTAACTCTGGCTTTCCTTCACCACCAAAACCTGGCACGACCTTAAATGACCATAGCTGTTAATAGGACGTAAACCACAAACAAACTAACAAATTATAGGATTGTCAACCCCATCAGTGGTTTCTGGTGTTGTCCATCAAAATCGTTAAGTGTCCATCAATCATGGTATTCTATTTGGTATATGATAAAAATGGCTAATTTAAATGCTTTTATTTGAAGTAGAAGGGTTTAAACTCTGTATGCAGAACCTTGTGCCGATATAAAGTTCCACGGCCAGAAACTGAATTATTGATAAGCATTGTTACATGTACTAAAAAGATTTTACATAATTTTCCTCTAAGAATCTAGACCACCAGTGGCAAAGTACCAGTTACTGTTATATAAAAAAAAAACTATTAGGGTGAGGATGTAGCCATGTAAAAAGAATTAATGATGATATAAGATCATCTGTTTTTATTAACTTTTCAAATTTCATAATGCAGTAATGTTAGATTTTATGTAAAAATGCTGCGAAAATTTTTCACACATTTTATCCCTTCTTTTAGCTGCGGGAACCGTAGCTTCTATGTCCTTTTTTTTTAATTTTGTTTTTTATTGTTATCGGACCGATAACAATAAAATTTTTTTTTTTAAAAATCGGACATAGAAGCTACGGTTCCCGCAGCTACCCTTCTTTGAGATATGGAATAGGGGAGATCTCCCTCATGGCAGGTTTCAGAGATTGACACGAATGTTATTCATTTAATATCATTTTATGGCATGACAATTAAAGCCATACACTTAATCAAAAGGTCACCAACAATGTCCAAAATTATGAAACAGAATCGTAAAATGTAACAGGGCAAGACTGGGATTCGTACCCTGAATCTGTGAACTCCAGATGTTTACTCATACTGACTAAGCTACCTGATAAAGTGTAGTCAGCTGACCTAGTAAACCCTTTTACAGTTTAAATCAAAACAAAATTAGAGGAAGAACATTTATAAAAGGAACTTGTCTTACAAACGTTTTCTTGTTTACATCAGCCATTGGAACAGTCCTTAGTTATTAGTTTCAACATTACAACATCATTTTTGAAATTAGATTTTTGAATGTTAAAGAAGAAATGTAAAAAAACATCTGTGTTGTGTGTTTAGGTGCTGGTTCAGGGTGACATTCTGGTGAACACCTCGTTGACGGAGGCATTTTGCATTGCCATAGTTGAGGCCGCTTGTTGTGGGTAAGTAAATGGCTGTGCACTGCTTTATTTCATACTGTGCTGTTTTTATATAGGTTTCAAAAATACTGAGCGATGTTGAGGAAATATGAATTAAACTTTGTGACAGCCATGTTGAGTATTTTGTTTATAATCTCAAAAATATTGACAAGAGTATAGATGAGTTAAATGTAGAATAACAGACTTGATTAAAGAATTATATATCAAAACTGTTGTCCTTGTAATTTTGCTTCTATGAACACTAATGATATTCCAACTTGTGCTGATATCAAGATGGACAGTAAAACTATGTTATGTGATGTAGGAATGTAATGGAGCATGCAAGCTTTACGTTCTTGCCTATTTTTAGGTCACCTGAGCTTTGCTCAAGTGACCTATTCCAATCGCTTTTCGTCCGTCGTCGTCCGTCGTGCGTCGTGCGTAAACTTTTACATTTTCAACTTCTTCTCAAGAACCAGTGGATGGATTTTTTTCAAACTTGGTCAGAATCATCCTTGGTAGATGAGGCTTCAAAATTGTAAAATTGGGATTCCTACCCCAACCCCTGGGGCCAGGGCGGGGCCCCAAAGGGAAAATTA